GAGAAGGTTGGTAGGCCTACATCTGAGAGAATAGGTCTGGGTGGTCAGTGTGCACACTATAGAAAAAATCTGGATGCCCGCATGGCATTGTGGGAACGCCGCCAAAGTAGCTTTGTTCATCGTGCCTGGTGGCAAAGAAACTCTCGCTCCCCACTCACTCTTGGGGAGAATTCTGACTCTCCTCTTCACAACTAACAGTTCTAAGACTGATGGAAGTGGAGCTGAAGAATTCTATGGTTTTGAACCATATGGTACATTGGTGCTATGTCATACAATGGTACCATATGGTACATTGGTGCCATGTCATACAATGGTATCATATGGTACAATGTGCCATATGGTACAATGTGCCATGGTACATTGTACCATATGGTACATTGTAACATATTCAAATTCAAAGTTTATTCTCTATAAGGATTACAATGCTGAGTTTACAGAATTTGGGTATTGTGTGGTTTACATGTAGTAAAATAATAATTACAGTGTACCATAGGTACATTGTACCATATGGTACATTGTACCACATAGTACAGGGTACAGGGACCCTAATGCAAATAAGTCTGTCTGACTTTTTTGGGTTATCCTAGGTTCTCCAAACATACGCTGCTAAGTATGATATTCTATGTAACTTTATTTGTGTATACCTAAATAAACTTACTTATAATGCCACATGCACTTGAGTAAGTTTATTCAGGTGTACAGAAATACAATTACATGGATTATTGTACATAGCAGCATATGTATAAAATTCTAGGATAACCCAAAAAAGTCAGGGTGACTTATTTCCATAGGAATCCTTGTATCTGTACCATATGGTGTCCTGTATTGTATGGCACCCTGTGCCATATGGTACCCTGTGCCATATGGTACCCTGCACAATATGGTACCCTGCACAATATGGTACCCTGTTTTCCTGTACTGCATGGTACCATATACCATATAGTACAATGTACCATATGGTACCCTGTAACATATGATACTGTGTACCATATGGTCAATAGGAGGTGTTGGTGGCAGGAGACACCAGCCAAGACTGAGTGAGTGGCGACATAAGGTAGCTACTGACTCAGCAGTTTCCAAGACAAAGCCTTTGTCATCCACCTCACGGAACATGTCCAGTTCCTATACATTTGTAAATATATAATAGAACATTACTAATATACAACATTTTTGCATATTTTTGTTGTAAACAATTATTGTAAACAAAATAATGATGAAAATATACGTGTGTTTATTGTGTTAAATGCAACAGAACCATGTAGTACCATATGGTACAATGAACCATATGGCATCATTGTACTGTATGGTACAATGTACCATATGGTACCATTGCACCATATGGTACCATTGCATCATATGGTATCATTGTACCAAATGGTGCCATTGTACCATATTCTACCATATGGTTCCATTGTATCCTATGGTACCATTGTATCATGTGCCATTGTACCATATGGTACCATTGTACCATATGGTACAATTGTACTATATGGTACCATTGCACCCTATGGCATCATTGTATCATATGGTACTATATGGTACCGTTGTATTCAACACAATAACCGCACTAATATTTTCATCATTTTGTTTACAATAAACTTGTAAACTAGTTTTGTGAGCAATATAATGATAAACAAACTAGTGCAGTTATTGTGTTGAATACAGTGAGTGTACACTTATACAATATACATTATATTGGGCTCACAGGCCACAAATGTTACTAGAAAAAGAAAAAAATTAGAAAAGAAAAGAAAAAAGTATAAAAAAAACGTAAAATACAAAAATGCGATTTTGCGGAAGTCACTGATGTTGCTGCCACCTGGTCATTTTGGGTCAACTTCCCACTGCTGTATCTCGGTAAGTACTGATCAGAAATTTGTTTTGTTTCATTACCTTCACAAAAATATTATCTTTAATTCTTTAAGAAAAATAATATATTTTTTTTTTTTCAAAATTTCTTGGACACTGGGGCTCCCCTTCAGATTTTGGCCTTGGACCCTGAAAGGGTTAAAGTTCTGTATATGTAGTAGGCACAATAATATGAGTGTATGTCTCATATATTTAGCAAGTTCAAGCTTTTGAATATTGGTGGTGTGTGCTGTCTAGCACAGGAGATGGTAATCATCTGCACAGCAGCTTTTTGTTGGGTTCTTAAAGGTTTAAAATGGTTGGCTGTGGTTGATCCCCAGACACAAATACCATAGGTGAGGTAGGGACATAGGGTAAGGAGTGTCATTTGGGGTACATAGTACTGTATCTTGGAAAGGATGCCTACAGATTTGGTAATTTCCTTGGATATATATTGGATGTGGGAATGAAATTTAAGATTATAGTCAAGAAGACCTAGAAATTTACCCTCAGTGTGTCTTGAAATAGAGAAACCATTTACCAGCATTCTAGCTAAATCTTCTGCCTACATCAGTATTCCAGTTAAATCTTCAGCCTATATCAGTATACTGTACAGCTGAGTCCATCAATTTGTTTTTGTGGTTTGATTTTCCAATGTGTTTGTTGAAGGGTCTTAAGCAAACTGCTTAAATTATTCACATTTTTTCCAGTGACCATTTTTGGGGGATTTAGTGTAAGACCTCTAAACTGAAAACCAACCACAGAATTTTAGTCAAAGAGTGTTCAATGAAATTTTCACAATATTAATGAGGTTCAAGTAATATTTAAAGAGTTAAGGCCTCTGAAAAGCAAAAAAGAAATCAAATTTCGAGTAAAATTTATTACAAGAAAAAATTAGTGGTATTCATGAATCCTGAATTCAAAGGAAATTGAACACTTACCCTTGTAAGCTGGGGGATTCAAATGTATGCTGGCAGTAGACAAACAATATTCCTTGTTAAATCAACTATAATACTCTATTACTGTTGTGTATGCTTCAACTGCAATGTGATGCTTATGCCTATAATGTATACTAATAATGAACAGTAGTTTAAATATGGCTTGACTCCAAGGATTTTTAATTATTGATGCTTTTCTGTAGATGCCTTCCTTTCCCACTACATTGTAAAATGCTTCAAACTTCAGAACACACATGACTTAACCTGATTCCTCCTTTTTCATCTCCCTCCTCCCCATTCCTCTTTCCTTTTTTCTCCTTTGGGTTGTGTTTCTTCTACCTTGTGTATTTGTTCCTTCTTTATTTATTTATTTTTCCTCCCTCTGTGTTCTTGCTCTTACCCTCTGTGGGTACCTAGCTCCCTTGCAGTGCTCCTCTTTCTTAGTATTTGACTGGCTCCTCCTCCTTCTTACTACCTTCCCCACTACTACTACCACTATGACCTCCTGCCTACATATACCCCTCCTCCTCTCCTTTTAGTTAGTGTGACTTTGTAAATGGTTCAAGTCGGACCGAAACACTGTCGTAAGCTCCTCTCTTCTATGTGAGGGTTATTTGTGTATGGTTGCAGAAATCATCCATGATGCTGAAAACTTGAATAGCTTGATTTAATGTGAAATAAAATAGTGTAATTGGTTATGGATATTCTAGTCACAAAATCTGTACTGTCTGGTTGCCTTATGGATTAAAGAGTTTAGCAACATTACAACTACAGTGGACCACCGGTTAACGACATTTTTTCACTCCAGAAGTATGTTCAGGTGCCAGTACTGACCGAATTTGTTCCCATAAGGAATATTGTGAAGTAGATTATTAAGCAATTATTTAATAAATGTATGGAAGAGGGTAAGGTACCTAGGGATTGGCAGAGAGCATGCATAGTTCCTTTGTATAAAGGCAAAGGGGATAAAAGAGAGTGCAAAAATTATAGGGGGATAAGTCTGTTGAGTGTACCTGGTAAAGTGTATGGTAGAGTTATAATTGAAAGAATTAAGAGTAAGACGGAGAATAGGATAGCAGATGAACAAGGAGGCTTTAGGAAAGGTAGGGGGTGTGTGGACCAGGTGTTTACAGTGAAACATATAAGTGAACAGTATTTAGATAAGGCTAAAGAGGTCTTTGTGGCATTTATGGATTTGGAAAAGGCGTATGACAGGGTGGATAGGGGGCAATGTGGCAGATGTTGCAAGTGTATGGTGTAGGAGGTAGGTTACTGAAAGCAGTGAAGAGTTTTTACGAGGATAGAGTTAGAGTATGTAGGAAAGAGGGAAATTTTTTCCCAGTAAAAGTAGGCCTTAGACAAGGATGTGTGATGTCACCGTGGTTGTTTAATATATTTATAGATGGGGTTGTAAGAGAAGTAAATGCGAGGGTCTTGGCAAGAGGCGTGGAGTTAAAAGATAAAGAATCACACACAAAGTGGGAGTTGTCACAGCTGCTCTTTGCTGATGACACTGTGCTCTTGGGAGATTCTGAAGAGAAGTTGCAGAGATTGGTGGATGAATTTGGTAGGGTGTGCAAAAGAAGAAAATTAAAGGTGAATACAGGAAAGAGTAAGGTTATGAGGATAACAAAAAGATTAGGTGATGAAAGATTGAATATCAGATTGGAGGGAGAGAGTATGGAGGAGGTGAACGTATTCAGATATTTGGGAGTGGACGTGTCAGCGGATGGGTCTATGAAAGATGAGGTGAATCATAGAATTGATGAGGGAAAAAGAGTGAGTGGTGCACTTAGGAGTCTGTGGAGACAAAGAACTTTGTCCTTGGAGGCAAAGAGGGGAATGTATGAGTAGTATAGTTTTACCAACGCTCTTATATGGGTGTGAAGCGTGGGTGATGAATGTTGCAGCGAGGAGAAGGCTGGAGGCAGTGGAGATGTCATGTCTGAGGGCAATGTGTGGTGTGAATATAATGCAGAGAATTCGTAGTTTGGAAGTTAGGAGGAGGTGCGGGATTACCAAAACTGTTGTCCAGAGGGCTGAGGAAGGGTTGTTGAGGTGGTTCGGACATGTAGAGAGAATGGAGCGAAACAGAATGACTTCAAGAGTGTATCAGTCTGTAGTGGAAGGAAGGCGGGGTAGGGGTCGGCCTAGGAAGGGTTGGAGGGAGGGGGTAAAGGAGGTTTTGTGTGCGAGGGGCTTGGACTTCCAGCAGGCATGCGTGAGCGTGTTTGATAGGAGTGAATGGAGACAAATGGTTTTTAATACTTGACGTGCTGTTGGAGTGTGAGCAAAGTAACATTTATGAAGGGATTCAGGGAAACCGGCAGGCCGGACTTGAGTCCTGGAGATGGGAAGTACAGTGCCTGCACTCTGAAGGAGGGGTGTTAATGTTGCAGTTTAAAAACTGTAGTGTAAAGCACCCTTCTGGCAAGACAGTGATGGAGTGAATGATGGTGAAAGTTTTTCTTTTTCGGGCCACCCTGCCTTGGTGGGAATCGGCCGGTATGATAATAAAAAAGATTAGTCCATTTCAGACCCCCAAACATACACGTACAAACGCACTTACATAAATACACTTACATAATTTTTCGCATTTGGAGGTGATCGTTATGCGGGGGTCCACTGTAGTCCACAGATTAACAGATCCCAAATTAAAACAATATTTTTCTGCTTTTTATATTTCAAATGTTCCTCATTCCCTATGGAATCTCCCTTTTACCACATATTTCAGCACCATTAACCTTTAACCCGTTACCTGTCCAAACATAGATCTAAGTTCTCTTGCCCAGTGCTCTGAATATTTTGAAAAAAAAAAAAAAAAAAAAGTTAGCTTTTTTATATAAATAAACAGTGTATTTTTCTAAGTGACATAGGATAAAAAAAAATTTAGGGTCAGTACTTATTGAGATATGAGCCCGCAAAGTTGGCACTTGATGATCACCTGGCAGCAACATGGGGTGCTGCCACTTGCAGGAATTCTACATATTTATCGTTTTTTTTTTTTTTAATTTTTCTTTTAATTTTCTTAATTTTTATGGTATGATAATTATGTTTTATAGTAATTCTTTTGATTTCATGGCCAACTGTTGTTTAAACACAAATATTATATACGAAATTGAAATCATACTGTCACAAACACACATGTACACCTTGACAGGTGATTTTGCACACCTGGCCAAATCACATTCTATTATCTACAACTATATACAGTGGACCCCCGCTTAACGATCACCTCCAAATGCGACCAATTATGTAAGTGTATTTATGTAAGTGCGTTTGTACGTGTATGTTTGGGGGTCTAAAATGGACTAATCTACTTCACAATATTCCTTATGGGAACAAATTCGGTCAGTACTGGCACCTGAACATACTACTGGAATGAAAAAAGTTCGTTACCCGGGGGTCCACTGTACAAGTATTTACATATCCCACTTATGTTTCTATAACTCCACAATTGTACGATACTCCATAAAGCATGGATTCATACAGTGTGCCACCCCACATTGGTGACACATGAATCATGTCCTTCTGCTGTTGGGGTCGTTTTGTGGTGCTAGCACACACAACACACTTTTTTCTGCGAATACTTCTTCTTTGGGGTAGGTGGTACTGGTATCAGGAAGTGACAGTTAGGAATGATTTGGTCTGGCACTTCCCCAAGTGGCTGTGGTTGTGGTTGTGGTTGGGAGACATATCACTAATCAAGGGCAGGTACAGGTGTGGTACCATACTTTTTTTGCTATCTGTTTTATGACATTCGGGGAGAATTCTGCGAAATGTTGTCATTTTCCAGTCTTTATTTCATACATATTGAATGCAGTGAGCACTGCAATGTCTACAAGGTGGAAAAGTACTTTTATATACCACTTATGACTCCTACGCACACAGTCAATGAACCCTGTCATCATGTCACACTTGTCAACTAGTCGCATGTTGTTCATATAGTCGACCACAACAGCTGGCTTGACAATACGTTCATTGGTGTCCTGGTTCACTTTATTTGTACCATCTCGTTTCTGTGGATGGTTGACAGCAATGCCATGTCCTGTTTGTCATGCCACATCAGTGCCATGATGTCAGTGGCATAAAACGCATGCACTACACCGTCAACAGTGCCTCTAATGAACCTGGGCATGTGTTTTCTATTCCTTCTCACTGTTCCACATACTATATCAGTATTGTTCACACATACGAAATCAGCAAGAATAGGGCATGTATATCAGTTGTCTGTACAATGTATGACTCTTGCCAAGGTATAGTTCCATCATCTTGCGAACAACATCGCCAGAAATCCCCAACATCCGTCTGTCATCACTGAGTGTTTCTCCCAGTGTAGACAATGACATCCAACACAAGACCACTCTCACAGTCACACATAACAAAAAGTTTCATACCAAAGCAATTACCTTTGCTTAGTATATACTGCTTGAATGACAGGCATCCCTTGAACAGAATCAAGGATTCATCGACAACAATGTTCTTGAAGGGATAAAAACATGCATTGAATTTATGCTTCATATACATAAACACTTCCTGGATTTTGTATAGGTCATTACTGTTGGGCCTATGCCTGTCTGAGAAGTGCAACACTCGTAGCAACAGATTAAATCTGTTGCAGGGAAGGAGGTCATGGAAGACAGGAGTACTGACGAAGTAGTCTGTGGACCAGTAATGTCCTATATTTTGCTTATCTGTGGACCAGTAATGTGCTATATTTTGCTTATATGTATGTGGCATAAGCATGACGGTGGCAAGGAATAAATACATTTCGGCCACAGCTGTATCTTTCCACCTATGCAGCTGTGATGATTCTGCAACCTGTGTTGTCCATGATATAGCGGTAATAACTGTTCATCTGGGTCACTAGCAAGTTCATTAGAGGCTCGTCAAAGTATAAATGGAAAAAGTCTAACTCTGTAGACTCATTCATTATGGGACATTCTGGAAAGATGCCATGGCCACTTGCATCAAAATCAAAGGGCTGTGGCACGAATATACTTTGTGTCCAGTTCCATTCGTGCTCACATGGTGCTGGGTGGACCTGTGGCATGGAGTGTGGGGGAACAGGAGGGACAGGAGTGGAGGCAGCGCATGGCTGAGGGGGTGCCATGCGGTCCTTTGTCTGTCCACCCACTGCACCATGTGCTCCAGGCACCATGCCACCCACCTCTTCCTCCATCCCCACATATTCTTCCATTATCACTATCAATGGCTGGGGTTTTAGGCTGTGACCTCCCATGACCCTTGGGGATTGCATATGGCACACTGCCTGAACGTAGGCAACAACGCCTAAAAGTACACTTCACTGGTGAATAATGAATATCACTATCACTAGACGAACCCTCTATTGGCATAAAATCAATCTCATAGTCACTTTCACTATCACTGAAACTGTGGGGAAATGATAGTTTTTCTCTTGTGTAGTTGCCTGTGGGTAGTAACACTGGCCACTCCAGAGGTGATTGGCCCAGGGTCCTGTGTGGCCACACTGGCCATCCCAGAAGTGCTTGGCTTAGGGTCTGGTGTGGCCACACTGGCCATCCCAGAAGTGCTTGACTGGGGGTCTGACATGGCCACACTGGCCACCCCAGAGGTGATGGGCTGAGGGTCATCTGGGTTATTGTCGATATTTTCACTAATTCTTTGATCATTAGTGGCCACATCGGTGTCAAATCCACTAAACTCACATTCTATATCACTTTCCTCGAATAAGAGTGTTAATACGACAAGGCATGAGTGAATCACGAGGGTTTGCCATGATGTTGACTTAAGATGGAGCTGAATGTAACTGGTGCTACCATGCAGTACTATGGGGGCCCCAATTTTTTTCATACGACGCATACTGAGTGCACAGATCCATTCTCTTGTGTCTAGGCCACTCAGGCCTAATGCGCCAAATCTGAAGGCAGGAAAAATAAAACGCAGATCTACGTTTGGACAGTTAACAGGTTAAACTGTCCAAATGTTGATCTACGTTTTCACTGACAGCACTCCAAATATTTTGGAAATAATAAAAAAAATTAAATTAAAGAGGGCAACTTTGTGTGTGTAATAAGACAAAAAATTTTTAGGATAGGTACTGACCGAGATATAAGACCGCAAAGCTGGCGCTGGATGCTCACCTAACAGCAACATGGAGTCCTGCCGCTTGTGGAAGTGTTGCCGATATACCTTTTTTTTTCTATTTTTTTTAATTTATATAATTTTTTTGCTCTGATAATTACAAATTGTAGTAGTTCTTGTGATTTCATAGCCAATGTTTGTTCTGATACTAATATTAGGTACTCAAATAGTCACAAGCACACTGACAGGTGAACATTTTCACCAGCCTTGGTCACTCAATATTGTCTGCAAAATGTATACATAGTATTTATGGTCCCAGCAATGTTTTAGACATGCTGGAGTATGTATGAAACTCCTTGAAGCAGCACTGTGTAAGTCTAGTGTCACTTCATTGCTGACAGTGCAGCAGTGAGTGACACTTGATGATAGTGCAATGCCTTGGCTTTGTTTGTTTTTACTGTTATATATAAACATTATCTGTGTCTATCTGTTTGTCTATCTGTTTGTCTATCTGCTTGTCTATCTGTTTGTCTATCTGTTTGTCTATCTGCTTGTCTATCTGTTTGTCTGTCTATCTGTTTGTCTATTTGTCTGTATCATGAACGAACAGGAATTACACACGATGCAGAGTCACATCTGATTCCTGAACAAGTGAAAATGCATATTACTTGCCAGTCATACTTATTATGCCGTTTATCTACAAGCACAGTATAGTACTTTGTCTGGATTTTTTGGGTTATCCTAGGTAATTTACACTATGTATAATAACTACATGTATTTATGTATACCTGTGAGGTAGAGACAGAGACAGAGACACAGAGACAGGCATAGATACATAGACAGAGATAGAGACAGCCAAAGTCAATCAGCCAGCCAGCCACTCAGCCAGCCAGCCAGCCAGCCAGCCAGCCAGCCAGCCACTCGGCCTGCCAAACACGTATTACATTCCAAAATCATTTCACTTTACTTAGGGCATAGGTTATAGGACATTCTGGCAGGATAACACTACCAGTGGTATCAGAAATGACAGGATATTGTACAAATGTTGTTGTACATGGGTTATTATTGAGGTTTTTGATATTTCCTCTACCACTTGTGGCCATATCCATCTCAAAGCCACTAAACCCTGGGTCAGCATCACTTTCTTCATAAAAGGGGTGTGTTAATACGACTTGACATCAGTGAATCCCTGGTGTTTGCCATGCTATTTGCTCTAGCTGGCACTCAGTTGAACTGGTGCTTCCACAAGGTACTAAGTGGTTCCAGATTTTTTTTAATACCGTGCACACCGAGTGTCAAGACCCATTCTATACTGACCAGAAATCTCAGGCCATTAGTGCCAAATTTGAAGGCAGGAAAAATAAAACGTAGATCTACGTTTGGACAGCTTAAGAGTTAAAAGCATGAAGGGCTTTTACGTGTAACGTACATATTTTCTGATGAACGGACTGTTACTTGTTTAATAAATAGGAAGAACACCTATTACTTACCATGTCTGTGCCAAAATATACAGTCAGAATTGACTACCATCTGGTCATACACATATAAAAGGAAACCTGCTGAATGTTTTGCAGTATGGCAGGACTGCTGGTGTTTTCTGTTGTGAGCAGGTAAGATAATGGGTAAATCTTAAAAACTTTTACTTACATACAGAATAAACTTTGTTGCTTTCATGTACTTCTTAATGTGGTCTTTCCAATTTAGGAGACCTGGTCTGCAACCAGGCAATAGGGACAGTGATTCTCGGACCCAATAGCAACTAATACATAATAAAATTAGAATTACCAGTGGTAACAATAACAGGGACAACTTAAGGGGTAAAAAAGAAAGGACAGCGGGTAAAGAAATGTTGCACATTATTAGTGGTGCTGAATTCTGAAAGAACCAAGTTACCCAATTCATTCACAGAAATTTTTTATCTATATTATTCTAAACATTTTTTTTGTTACACTGTTTTGTTTATTTGAAATGTTAATGACTATTTCATTTTAGTTATACACATTGCATTAATAAGGGATGAATTTGCTTGATTATTTTACATAGTTATTTTACTAAATTTTAAAATTTGATCTAGCCAATCAATTTATACAGCATTTTATATATTTAAATACAACTGTTTTAGATGTGAAGTAAATGTACAGGAAAAAAGACAGGAGAATCCAAAACTCATGCATCAGCTGACTACATATAGAAAATGCATCAAAAACAGTTTGTTCATCTGTTATCTTTAAAGATATTAACTGCAATATACTAAACCAAGTATCATGGCTTATTTATGCAATAATAATATTGCACTTTTAAAGTTAGAATAACTGACAAGCACTGACTCTTCTTTCCATTTAATTCTTGAAGCAATAAGTATGAGATTTAGATCATTGGTGCATGTAATTTTTGCCTAAGAATATGGTCATCATTGCTCTAATTAGAAGCAAATGCAAAGCCATTCCTGGAGTTGGCTTCAGTACAGATTAAACTCTTCTTTCTGGCTTACTGTTTTTTCTTTCAGATTTAAGCTAATTTAAAAAGTGTATGTTGCTAAATAAAATGACAAACTGAAGAAAATTCTGAAACATTTCACTCTTAAAACTGTATTGTTTTTATAAAATATGAAATTTTAATATTAGCCAATAAGCCAGCATTTTAGTTTATCTTTGGCCTTCCATTCCAAAGGCAAAGTGTCCTGTCATTAAATACCTGGAACACTGTCAACAAGGCTGCCCAAAATGAGTTAAAATTACTCCTCTGTTCTGAAGTGAACTTCCCACCAAATATCTGCATCCCAAGGAGGGTAAAAATAAAGATGAAGAGGAACAGTATAACTAGAAGTGACATGATGGATCGACACTGGGATACCAGGGAGTGGACCAGGTTGCTCATGGACCGCCAGTACCTGCAACAGCCAGAGGGACCACTGGGATTAGGGCGAGTGAAGGAGTTAACACAAACAGCAGTGGGCCCCCACAGGCTTCACAATGTTCTCCAGGAGATCCTTATGATTTTTAAAAAAACATTTAAATATGAACAATCAACAACAAAAAACTATAATAAATATATATATATATATATTTTTTTTTTTTCAACAAGTCGGTCGTCTCCCACCGAGGCAGGGTGACCCAAAAAAACAAAGAAAATCCCAAAAAGAAAATGCTTTCATCATCATTCAACACTTTCACCACACTCACACATTATCACTGCTTTTGCAGAGGTGCTCAGAATACAACAGTTTAGAAGCATATACGTATAAAGATACACAACATATCCCTCCAAACTGCCAATATCTCAAACCCCTTCTTTAAAGTGCAGGCATTGTACTTCCCATTTCCAGGACTCAAGTCCGACTATATGAAAATAACTGGTTTCCCTGAATGCCTTCACTAAATATTACCCTGCTCACACTCCAACAGATCGTCAGGTCCCAAGTACCATTCGTCTCCATTCACTCCTATCTAACACGCTCACGCACGCTTGCTGGAAGTCCAAGCCCCTTGCCCACAAAACCTCCTTTACCCCCTCTCTCCAACCCTTTCGAGGACGATCCCTACCTCGCCTTCCTTCTCCTATAGATTTATATGCTTTCCATGTCATTCTACTTTGATGCATTCTCTCTAAATGACCAAAGCACCTCAACAACCCCTCTTCTGCCCTCTGACTAATACTTTTATTAACTCCACACCTTTTCCTAATTTCCACACTCCGAATTTTCTGCATAATATTTACACCACACATTGCTCTTAGACAGGACATCTCCACTGCCTCCAACCGTCTCCTCACTGCTGCATTTACCACCCAAGCTTCACACCCATATAAGAGTGTTGGTACTACTATACTTTCATACATTCCCTTCTTTGCCTCCATACATAATGTTTTTTGACTCCACATATGCCTCAATGCACCACTCACCTTTTTTTCCCTCATCAATTCTATGATTAACCTCATCCTTCATAAATCCATCCGCCGACACGTCAACTCCCAAGCATCTGAAAACATTCACTTCTTCCACACTCCTCCTCCCCAATTTGACATCCAATTTTTCTTTATCTAAATCATTTGATACCCTCATCACCTTACTCTTTTCTATGTTCAC